AATTTTATTATATGATTCAAATCAAATGCTAATATTATAAATAGCCTTGATCTTGATTTCATCATCATTGTTTGCCTAATAAGTATAGTAACGCCAAGTGGACGATAACGAATCCCACATAAACATATAAAAAAANTTTTAGTAATCTATTTTATACTTCATAATATGATTCAATTAAAATGTGCAAATAATCTTGAACTCAATATTGCTGTCAAAGAATATATTTATTTTTTATTACCCTATTTAAATTTTATTATATGATTCAAATCAAATGCTAATATTATAAATAGCCTTGATCTTGATTTCATCATCATTGTTTGCCTAATAAGTATAGTAACGCCAAGTGGACGATAACGAATCCCACATAAACTTAAAAAAATGCTTATAAAAGTTTGTGTATATTTAAATGTTTTATTCATCTAGCATTATTCATTCATATATACCTGACTTAGTGAGAAAAGTTGTTAAGCATACTTTTTATGAAAACTCATATTTTGATATAGAAAGCAGGAGATATTAATAATACATCGTTTCGAAAAGGATTAAGATACTTATTTTTCTCGTTTATATTCATTGAAAGACAAATTTATTAAATTCAAAAGAGTCACCGAATGTCTAACAAATTCAAAAATAATACGAAATCTTTTAATCTTTCACATATGAATGGAAAGGTCTGCAGATGTTGATGATGAGAACAAAAAAAAATGTAATTTTAAATAAAATAAAGTTTTATAATTACTTATTTATTTATATTTATTATTACATATTTAATGAAGAAATAAATTTTCTTAATATTGTTAAATTTTTTTCAGCACATATAGAATTATTATGATATTTACAAGTATTTATATTTTTATTATATAAATTCTTTAAATTTGGACAATTTAAATCATCTAAATTATATAAAATAATATCGTTTCCGAATAACCGTTGAATCCATCTGATTTTCTCCAATCCTTTAGCAAAGAATATATAATTTTCTCTTTTCATTAATGTATGGATATATTCAATAACAGTCATTTAAGTCGAATCACCATCTTCCCATTTTAATCCATGATGATTATGATATATAACCAGTTATTAGTTGTTTTATCCCATATCGTCAACTTAGATTCTTCAAAAGGAGGTTGAATTAGAAACGATGTTATATATGAATCATATGTTGATATGCTGACTTCTTTAGCAATAAATTTCCTATTAAAATAGAATCCTTGAACATCTATAACCAACGTATATTCCTCTGGCATTATATAGCTTAAGCTTTTTTTTAAATTCGTTTAAAAAATAGTCTTATGAGTTTCTATAAAGGTTTATAATATTTTTTAGCGTCTAATGAAATCCTATTTAAATAATTGTAAAATAAGTATATATTAGAGCCACCAATTTTATTAACTAATCGATTACACTCCGCTGAATAATGAAACCCAAATATCACATTAATCTTTTTATATACTACATTTACATTCTTTTTATATTTCATATTTATATAATAAATCTATCTCATTCTATTAAAAATTAAGAAATTTCCATATTCATATCATGTTTATAACTTTTAATATCAATTAGTGTGATATCTGAGCGTAGTGTAGTATCATCTCCAGTAATTATTTCAATTTCACCGTTACTTAAAATTTTCTCGAATGCAACCTGACGATACTCAAAACAAGAAATATTCAGTTTGCATTGAAGGAAATCACTATCATATGTACAACGAATTCTTAGCATAATATTATCCTCATATTGAAGCTGAAAATGTCTATAAAAGGGATGTGAACTCTCAATTATTCCTGAAATATTTTTCTCTTTTTGTATTAGATCTTGTCTAAATGCTTCTATGGCTTCCTGTGTTGTGAAAAACTTTTTCGGATTAGATGTAGGTGCTTCTGATGTTGTAAAGAGTTTGTCGGTTTTAAAAAAATAAACACTGAGCCGAAGACTATATCTGATTAAGATTTATTCAAAGAATTCTTGCTAGTACAAAGTAAACAATATGTATATACATAGCTAGGTTAGCTGCAAAGTATATGTTTCTTACATCAGATGAAGCCAGGGATGGTAAAACTAACCGAGCAGGGTCGCATTTTCTCGGACTTCGAACATTCCGCCCACCTTCGTCGGATTTGTCGGCGAAATTATTATAGTGCGCCGCCCACCGTCTTGAGCGCGGCCTGAGTGGTTCCTTCCTGTGAATCCATCGGGTCAATCTCGATGGGTAGAACCGAGATCTTTGATAGAAGTCTTTTGATAAGACTGGTTTGCGTTCTTATAGTAACCACGCGAACTAATCCGTCTTCTCCAGCGTGAGCATCGGTTATACGACCAAGAATCCAGCACTTGGGTGGCAACCGTTCGTCTCGTACTAAAACGAGTTGGCCGCAGACAATATTTGGTTGTTGCGTGCGCCATTTATTTCGCATTTGAAGTTGATGCAAATACTCGCAGGACCAACTATGCCAAAAGTTTTGGTGCATCTGCTTCAGCAACTTCCATCGCTTCAATAAGCCAACCGCTTCGCCAAGGATGTACTGTTCTGGGAGTGACGTCAATGCTCTTCCGATCAGAAAATGGCCCGGTGTAAGCGCTGATAAGTCCTGAGGGTCATCGGACATTGCAGAAATCGGTCGCGAGTTCAAACACGCTTCCACCTGTTTCAACACGGTAAAAAATTCTTCAAATGTTAAGGTCTTAGTATGAATTATCTGCCGAAGGTGGTGTTTCATACTCTTGACGCCTGCCTCCCAGATACCGCCAAAAATTTGGAGCACCGGGGGGTATGATGTGCCATGTCAGGCCGATTGTAGAGCCGTAACTAGTGGCAGCTCGTAGCTGAGCTTTGAACGCACGTATCTCTTCTTGAATTAGAGCATTGGCTCCAATGAATGTTGTCCCATGGTCACTATATAAATCAGAGCCAAGTCCACGTACCGATACGTATCGTGTCAGCGCTGCAAGAAACGCTTCCGTTGTCATATCGCTGACGAGCTCGAGATGTACTGCTCTTGTGGCCAAGCACACAAAGAGCGCCACGTAGCCTTTGTAGCTACGGTGGCCTCGACCTTTGGTTGGTCTTATGTTGAAGGGGCCCGCAAAATCCACGCCGCTGTGCATGAACGGCGGTGACGCATTGCTGCGGGCAGAGGGAAGATCGCCCATTAGTTGCGTCTGAGGCGAACATTTGTAGCGGAAGCACCTTGCACAATTACTCGTTATTCGCTTAACAGCTTGCCGTCTGTCGATAATCCAAAACCGCTGACGAACGTACTGGAGTGTGGCTTGGGTGCCACCATGAAGGGTGCGCTGGTGAGCTTGTCTAATGAACAACATGGTGAGATGATTATCCTTTGGTAGGATGACAGGGTGTCGCTCTGAGAATGGAATATTTGCGTTCCTTAAGCGACCGCCGACGCACAACATCCCATTTTTGTCTAACATGGGATTTAGCTTCAACAGTTTGCTCCTCTTGTTGACTGCTTTAGTATCATTGAGAGCTGCGATGTCGCTCTTGAACGTGATAGCTTGTATGCGCTTGATCCAAAACTTCATGGCAGCCTCGCGCTCGCTCCACAAACACATCATGCCAGTGTCATGGGTCATACCTCGCGAGGCCCGTATGAAGCGGAAACACCAAGCAGTGATTACTAAAAGTCTTTCAAGCGTCGAATAGTTTTCCACGATGAACCAATCAGAAGGAATGATGCGTGCCGTTGTAGCTTGCACAGGTTTGGATTCGGAGAGCTTTTCTGGTGCCTTTAGCAAAGGCTGTGGCCAGCTGGTTTCTGGTTGGCTAAGCCAGGAGGGCCCATGCCACCATAGGTGATGATCTACAAGCTGCGCCATGGTCAGTCCTCGTGAGGCACAATCAGCAGGATTGTCGGCCGTGTTAACATAACGCCAGTCGCTTACAGTAGTCACCTCTTGTATCTGGCTAACACGATTCGACACGAACTCTTTTAGCGCTCCTGGATCGGATCGTATCCACCATATTGTAGTCGTAGAGTCTGACCACATATAAGTAGATATAGAGGATAGGTTAAGCGTATCTCTTACCTTATTCATCAGACGAGCAGCAAGTAAGGCTGCACATAGCTCGAGCCGTGGTACTGTAACTTTCTTTAACGGTGCCACTCGTGTCTTCGACATCAATAGGTGAATGTGGACGGATGATTGAGCGACAACCTTTAAGTACACTACAGCGGCGTATGCGTGCGTAGATGCATCTGCAAAGGTATGGAGCTCATAGGTTTCATTTTGCTGGGATGTATTAAGCCAGCGTGATATGCGTACTTCTGGAACTGTCTTAAGCTCGTTGCGAAAAGATATCCATTTCGTCTGCAAGTCTTCCGGCAGATTGTCATTCCAATCTAGGCCTGTTAACCACAATTTTTGAATAAACATTTTCCCACGAATAATTACAGGCGCCAGGAACCCAAGTGGGTCGAACAGCTTAGCCACGTCAGACAGCAGTTGTCGCTTTGTAAATGTGGTTACCGTGTAATCAAGCTTTAGTGCGTAGGTCAAGCAATCGTCTTTGGTAGCCCAGACGAGTCCTAAGGTGTTGTACTCTCCCTCTAGCTGAAACTCCCGTGAAGATTTAGTTTCAAGATCAACAGGATCAATGGTTTTCAGCACAGCGCTTGAGTTGGAATTCCACTTTCGCAGGGCGAAGCCACCTGCGCGGAGAAGGCCTTGCAGTTCTCGACGTCGTCTGGAAGCATCCTCGACATTGTCTGCCCCCGTTCGAACATCATCCACGTAGAACTCATCAAGAAAGACTGAGCAGCGTCAGGAAAGTTACAGCGTTCGTCAGCAGATAGAGTGTGCAATACTTTAATGGCCAGGTATGGCGCGCAACTGGTACCATAAGTGACAGTTTTTAATCTGAAATGTGTTGGCTCTCGATGCGAGTTAGGTCGCCAAACAATACGCTGCAAATCAGTATCTCTCTCGTCCACCAAGATCTGACGGTACATCTTGGCGATATCTCCAGTGAGCGCAATTCGTTATCGACGCCAATTTAGTACAACAGCAGTCAGGTCGGTCTGTAACTTAGGACCAGAGTATAAGCAATCATTAAGAGACTTACCACTGTTGCATCGTCTTGAAGCGTTGAAGACGACCCTTAATTTCGTTGTGCTGCTGGATGTTTTCCAGACGCCGTGGTGGCAGAGATAACAGATGGGCGTTGAACATTCTTCTTCTTTAGTGATGCTGACCATATGTTGCAATGATGCGTACTCGTTGATAAATTCTTCGTACATATCTCGCATGACCGGATCTCGAGATAAACGTCGACGAAGATGATCGAGGAGAATAATCGCATCATGGTGCGTAGAGGCTAATTGCGTTAGATCAGAATCCGGTTTGACTGGTAGCCGCACAATATAACGACCGTCTGCAGCTCGCCGCGTAGTGCGGTTGAAGTAATTCTCGACGAATCGATCATCTTGCGTTAGTGCGGGCGTTGAATTAAGCTCTTCCAACTCCCAGAAGCTGCGAAGCGTTCGGTCGAGATCGAGTTGAGTGTGATAGCAGTCGATCACATCCCGTGTCGTTACGAAAGATTGATTAGCAGAACTGCCGAAAATTACCCAACCCAACCGTGTACTTTGGCCAATCAAAAGACTAGTTTTGCTACGCTGTATTCCGCTTAACAGAAGAGCAGCATAATCGGCAGCATTTAAGATGACATCAATCGGTTGCGGTACGTTCCAGGTGGGATCAGCAAGGTCTAACTCACTAAAGTGTTGAACATCGTTCGGTGCAATAGCTACCGTCGGGGTTCGGTTTCCAACTCGAGGCAGCACTAGAGCGATGCATGCAAGCTCGAAGTCGGATTTCAATGAACGTAGATTAAACGTTACTAGCCCCTTTGCTGTAGCCACTCTATCACCGTTAGCACCATTAATAGGTATCTTTACATTAGACTTCACCAAGTGTAACAAGTTGACTGCGGATTCGCTGATGAACGTTGCTTCTGCCCCGCTGTCCAGTAAAGCTCGTAAAACGACCTTGTGTCCGGACTTTGACTTAACCTCAATCAGGGCTGTGCCGATCAGTACCGGCGGCAGCATATTAGGGTCTTGCCTTGTTGTGACTGCGTTATGAGAGGATGCAGCCTGTTTGCTCGTACTAGTCGCATTGAAAGCAAAGTAGTCGTGCGGCATTGTGTGGTGCTTAGCTTGACACGTCTTGCAACGGCGCTCGGAAGAACAAGCTGCTTGCTGGTGGCCGATGTGCAAACAGTATAGGCACAGCTTAGCTTGTAGTGCGTAGTCATACCGTTCGTGCGGCGATTTATTGCGAAAAGCTTCGCAAAACATTATAATATGCTTACCGGAGCAGTTGGGACAGCGCCCAGATGTGGTATGATACCCAGAAACTGCAGAGGTGGTGCCTAACTTCTTTTGAGTATGCTCCTTTATGAAGGGCTTCGGCTCGGTGTAGCTTTGGACTATTTCCAAGGATTGTGTTCTACTGGTGTTTAAGTGACTTGCGCTCACTTAAAGTTCTTACGTGACTTGCGTTCTTAAATTCCTTGCGTAAATGTATCCCTGCAGGACTTCCACACTACAAGCATCCCTGCTGTAGTTGGAAGTTCGAAAAAATGAATTTGCCTTCCAGTGTTACCAGGCGACCCACTGAATTCGCGTTCCAGTGTGGCCTATAAATGTAACTTCCGCCTTACCATCCTTCTTCTTACTTTTTCAACCGGAGAACAGAGCGCACGCAAGCAACGTGGCAATTCGATACACCCTATTTTCTTAAAGTCAACGCGGGACCTTGGCACATCTATTTTATATCCTCACATCGTGGAAATCACCAGATCTATTTTATATCCTCACATCGTGGGAATCACCAGTTCTCATTACCACTCATCAACATTCATAAGTATAACATCCATTTCATACAATCATTGATTTTCATTTAAACACATATATGTATATATGTAAATACAAATTCCCATTGTACTGATAATATTTTTCTCATTGAAATATCTAACGTTAACGCTTAATGTCATATCATGAATTTCCTCTTGAATTATATAAACTTAAATAAGTCATACAGTCCACTTACATAAATTTCTCATTCATTCCTAAATTGTTACTTACATACATAAATTGCTCATTCATATCTCAATTGTTACTTACATACATAAATTGCTCATTCATTTGCAAAGTATTACTTTAAATCTAATTTTCATTCACTCAACAATTATCAATTATATAAATTTTCATCAAACATTAAAACTAGTTAGTAAGCATATTTGTTAAATAAAACCTGAATTGAAAACGAATTCACATAACTCGCTTCATTTCGCAACATGGTCCTTCGAGCCGAATGTGAATCAACAAGTGGCAACTCAACTTCGAAAATCAAGCTCGAAAGAACAATAGTCGCCTGGCCACACTGCCTGCGACTGTAATTTTTACATTTGCGTTCCTTTTCAAATTAGACAGCAAAGCGTACGGCAGCAACTTCGGAGCAGCGATATTAGCAGCAGAAAAAATTTAAGCATTGTCCACAAAAAAGGTAAAAATTTAAATTTAAAACAAAAACCAAAGCAGAGTTATATTTGCTCAACAGCAAATTAAGCACCAGTGTTTTCTTGGTGCGCGTAAAATTGTGCTGAAAACTGCCGCTGCCCACCGTGGGACTAAGGTTTTTGCAACCCACCGAGGGATCCAAAAGCAACCAGGAGGCGCTTAACACCAGCAATCAGCAGTGCCCACCGCGGGACTAAGCATTTTGACCGTCGTCGAGGGAGCACCATATTTCCGCCACAAAAACAACAGAAGCATATTGCAAGGGACTCCCGTACTCAGCATTTTTTCATCAAAGGAAGTATGAGCCGAACCAAACAACGCATGTAAGTCACGCTATCCCGCTATTTTTGAGATATTTACATACATTTTCACCGTTATTCGATAACGGCACTCATATATATGTGTCTATGTATGTATATGCATATACATACATACGTGTATACGTTTAATACGTTTAACTCGCTAGCAAAACATTGCTTTATGTATGTACATATCCGATCAAAGTGGTTTGTTTGTTGCCAACGCCAGCGCTGAATTTTTGTGTTCTCAAAATTGTACTCGCACAAGTGTCACATCCCTGTGTATAATTCCAATTTCCCATAGTTTTTGATTCGCTAGCGCCGGCATTCAAAAACCAACCATTTATAGTCTTCTAAGATTTGCATCTATCAAAATATATTGTGAATATTCACCCTTTATTGTACACATATGTATGTATGAGCGTACTTGTGTGCACATCTACATAGTTTCCATAAATTCGGGATTCGTGCTATATGTACATAACGAGTAACAAAGTGCTTTGCTCGCATGAATTGCTAAAGCTGTACATAATATGCATAATATGCATATTATGCGTATACACAGTAATTTACTCTTTCTTACCTACCTCTCGTATTCGTCTTCGCGCTAGTTACATCCCTGCTCTACCGATTTCAACCGGTTGCGCCGGCGTTAAAATCCAACCACTTGCGTTCTTAGTGGATCAAATATATCAATTTATCTTTGTGCGAATTTGCTACCACAGTATCGCGCCACATACATACATACTTGTGCACACAAACAAATGGTTCACGCGAAGTCCGGATATTTTGTGTGAATAGACACATATCTACCCCATACCTACGATTAATTTGCAAGTTAAAATCAAAGAGCTTTGCGTTACGGCTAAACATTACAAATCTACCCAAATCAAGTATTCTTGCGTATGGGTTTTGTATCACATGCCTGCTCAGTGTTTGTGTACCGGGGGCGCCGGCGTTAAAGCCAAATCATTTTAAATTCTCATTAGATTTGCATTTGTTTACATTTTGCTTCGATTGAAACACATACTGTCTTCAAAGTGCGTTCCTCGCGTTAATTTCTAAATTGTTAAAAAAGAAAAATACATTGGTTTGGTTGCGGAAAATTCCAGGTATACATACCAGCATTAGTACGTTCTTACGGCAAGACGCCTAACGTGCATAAACACCGTTCCCGGCAATAACTCATATCAAGTTCGTTTCTCAAAACTTGTGAAAACCTTATTGGCCGATCGAAATTTTCGGCAACGCTGTGAATTATCCATCTTGTATCCCTATTATATACACGTATATATTTGAATTATTATTTGTATATAAACATCTCAATATCCACGTATATATATTTATGAAACGCAAAGTAAAGGTCGACTTTTACTCCCGTACGGATGCTGCCTGCGTTAGCGTCTAGTATTCTAACGTAAAGTGCTTTATAGAATACATCCGAAAAATTCTTGTTTTGTATCACGCATAGAAAATTAAAAGTCGACATTTATTTTGAATATAATCAATTTCTATCCCGTGTTAACGGTCTAATTAAAAACTCTGAAGAACGCTGTCTGCGTTAAATAATTTTGCACAATTATTCGTCTCTCAAACTTATCGGTTGATCTGATCGGTACGCGTGTCGATCCCGTCGAAGGTTCGACTAATTTTTTTCTCTCTCTCTAAAGGTTGTTTGGTACGTTTACCATTCAGCTTAACATAAGTCGAGGGTCAACTAATTTTTTTCTCTCCCTAAAGGTTGTTTGGTACATTTGCCATTCACCTTAACAGGCGTCTTAGATTCGACTAATTTTATTATCCTCCCTCAAGGTTATTTGGTACATTTGCCATTCACCTTAACACACGTCGAAGATTCGACTAATTTTATTATATCTCTCTCAAGGTTGTTCGGTACGTTTGCCCTTCACCTTAACATACGTCGAAGGTTCGACTAATTTTTTATCTCTCCCTAAAGGTTGTTTGGTACGTTTGCCACTCACCTTAACATACGTCGAAGGTTCGACTAATTTTTTGATCTCTCTCTAAAGGTTGTTTGGTACATTTGCCATTTGCCTTAACAGGCGTCGAAGATTCGACTAATTTTATTATCCTCTCTCAAGGTTGTTTGGTACATTTGCCATTCGCCTTAACAGACGTCGAAGGTTCGACTAATTTTTTGATCTCTCTCTAAAGGTTGTTTGGTACATTTGCCATTCACCTTAATAGACGTCGAAGGTTCGAATAATTTTTTATTTCTCTCAAGGTTGTTTGGCACATTTGCCATTCACCTTAAATGTCGTCGAAGATTCGACTAATTTTTTTCTCTCCCTCTCTAAAGGTTGTTTGGTACATTTGCCATTCACCTTAATAGACGTCGAAGGTTCGAATAATTTTTTATTTCTCTCAAGGTTGTTTGGCACATTTGCCATTCACCTTAAATGTCGTCGAAGATTCGACTAATTTTTTTCTCTCCCTCTCTAAAGGTTGTTTGGTACATTTGCCATTCACCTTAACAGGCGTCGAAGGTTCGAATAATTAGCGACATATTGCATCTGTTTTCCTGAGTTTGAGCTCCAGAGCATATCTAAATCATCGTTTCATTAAACCTACAAAAAAAAAAACCGATAAAATCCCACGTCTCAACTTTGCCAACAGTATCTAGTTGCGAAGTAAATAAAGTTTTTCTTGGTTGCATCTACCCTATGGTCTCACGTTAAGACAACAAGGGCTTTCGATCTATATCTCTTCAAGAAAGCTAGTTAGGCTTTTACTGCTTACAGTAACCCAATTTTTTATCTTTGCAATACCTAAGCACTTCCGCTTTGCAAGTCATGGCGACTGAATCAGCAGTAATGGCAGATTTTCTTTTCGATTCCAACAATATTATAACTTTCTGTGAGCATTTTGAAAAAGATGGTCCGGAAGACCACACTGATACTTTGCTGGAAATCAAGCTTCAGGATCTCAATGCACGATGGGAAAGTTTACAACTCTCATATCGAAAGGTCTGCCTTACTGATGAAAAACATGTTCCTACCGACTTCAAAGAAGAAGCGGGTAACAAATTCCAATTATGTACTGATAGTTTTTATATTTGCAAATCCCATATTCTCGACCAGCTTAAAATACTTCAATGTAACCCCAGCCACCAGGCTACCACCTCGCGTAACTCTTCTGCTTTCTTCGACAATTCGGTTCCGTGCATCAAAGTCCCCCCTTGTGATACCCAGATCTTTTATGGTAGCTATGAGGATTGGCCATCGTTTCGTGATATGTTCACGGCCGTTTACCTCAATCACCCGAAACTTACCCCTGCTCAAAAACTGTATCACTTACGGAATAAAACTCGCGGAAAGGCTGGTAGCATTGTCAAGCATTATAAGTTATGCGACGAAAACTTCTCCCTAGCTTGGGACGCTTTAAGAGCTCGTTTCGAGAACAAGCGAATTTTAATCGACAAGCAACTTAAATTGCTATTTAACCTTCCCTCAGCTA